AGAGAGAGAGAGAGAGAGAGAGAGAGAGAGAGAGAGAGAGAGAGAGAGAGAGAGAGAGAGAGAGAAGGAATGCCACGCGGGGATTACCTACCTCTACCAACAAGCATGCCCCTAACCGGACAACCACTGCCGCAACCAAACACAAACGATAAAGACGGCATCGAAAAAATGACTGATGATGATCATGACGATGACCACGTGACAGGGCATGTGTCATCATCGTGACGTAACGGGAAGCGTGGCATCACCCACCATTCGACAGCACGCACGCACGCACGCACCCGATGACACAGGCACGTACGCAATGACGCATGCACGCACGCACGAACGCACGTGATGACACATGCATGCACGCACGCACGAACGCACGTGATGACACATGCATGCATGCACATAGACGACAACCAGCCCCCTACTCTGTACGTGTGGTGGTGTCTAGCGTGGATACGTCGCGCGCGAGTCGTCGACCTTGACGGCCTATTAAGCATTAGAACGGAAACAGAGAAAGAGAGCGAGAGAGACAGAGGGAGAGGAGCTAGAGAGATAGAAGGAGATAGAGGAGCTAGAGAGATAGCGGGAGGGAGGAATGAAGGAAGGGGAGAGATAGAGAGGAGGGATGGAGGGAGGGAGAGAGGAATGTAGGGAGGAATGAAGGAATGGGAGAGAGGGAGGCAGGGGGAGAGAGGGAGGGGGAGAGAGGGAGAGAGAGAGGGAGGGAGGGAAGAGAGGGAGGGGAGAGAGGGAGGGAGGGGGAGGGAGGGAGGGAGCGAGAGCTGGAGCAGCCCCTGCGGGACGCGCGCCTAGAGCGTTGTCGTGTGTGTACACAATAATGGAGGAATTAAAGCAACGAAGGAAGCTTTCGCCTACGCGTGATAAACATCGGTGAATGAATTGGGGCAGGGAGGGAAAGAGGGAGGGAGCGAGAGAGCGAGGGAGCGAGGGAAGGAGAAAGCGATGAATGGAAAGATTTAAGGAAGTTGGAAAGAGGAAGAGAGAGGGGGTAAGGGCGAATAGAGTGGGCGGAAGAAGTGATAGGTGACGGGAGGATGTGAGAGAAAGAGTGAAGGAAGAGCTGTGGCATATAACGTGTTAGGAGTAGCACACCGATACGGCACCGCCCCCTAAAGAAACGCATGCGATGATAACGATACGTGCAAATAGCTATGGCTGCTTCCATCTGCGATCCGCCATCACATCTCGTCACTCGCACACACACACACGCACGCACACACATATAGATAACTGTCGCGCGCACGCATGTCACCAAACAGCTACAGAGCATGCGCGTAGGAGGACGAGGCGGTTTGAGTGACACGCCCGTTAAAACAGCGCGCAGCGCCCCGTCAAACTACTGTAACGGTACGTCTGCCAACCTGCCTGCCTGCCAAGCATAGCAGGCAGGCAGCCAGGCGGGTTACCGTAGGTAGGCAGGCAGGCGAGCAGGCAGGCAGAGGGAGCAAATTGGGGAAAAAGAGAGCGAGAGAAAGAGAGAGAGCGCGAGAGATAGAGAGAGAGGGAGAGCGAGAGAGAGCAAGAGAGAAAGAAAGAGAGAGAGAGAGAGAGAGAGAGAGGGATGAGACCGGAGAAGGTTGTGGGACACACTAACGTATATCAGAAGTAGATAATAGGGAATAGCAGGTAAACAAGAACGCACGTACCGTTAGCTAACTAGCACCGAGAACGGTGGCGCAGAGGGAGGGGAGTGGAGGGGGAGGCTCCAGCGAGCGTTAGCTCATTCCTTAGCCTCAAAGACTCATTCTGAAGTAGCTGAGAGGAATGCACACTGAACTAACACTATGGCCGTAACTTCACCTAAGTTAACCGTAGTACTGCCGTAACCGTACCACCGTAACACCGTAGTTAGCCCATACTAGCCCATATTATCCCATACACTAGACCATACGTGAGTGGAGTGAAACTAGCAGATTAGTACGTTCAAATTCCCTCCACGCGATAAGGCCAGAGTAAATTCCGAAGGTACTACCAATGAGTGGACTGAAACTAACTGTGACCAAACCACGGTTAGTCGAAGTGCTACGAGTGACTGGACTGGAACTAAACCACATCAGCAGTAGATGTACTCCACTCGCTACGGCCTTCCAGTCTGAAAGTACCATATGAGTGGCCTGAAAACTCACTCCATCGGGTGCTGTCCCTACGGCCAGTGAGTTGTCTTACGCCCACGCGCATGCGCGAGAGAGCCAGCGAGGCAAACCACACAGGGAGTGTCTATATTCAGGCCGGACGGAGAATACGGTAGCATATATTTGCTAATATATTGTATCGCCGCTCAAAAACTCAATATTCACAGAGAGTAAAGCTAAGCATGTTCTATAGTTATCTAGAATATATTATGCAAATGATCTCCCGTACCGGCTGAATCTATACTCTCTGTGAATATTGAGTTTATTGACGCACGATTAGTCAATATAGCAAATATATTGCGCGCGATGAATTACAGATGATTAATTCTAAAATTCTAGATACTATAGACACATTC